TTAATCTCAGTAGTCATCCCCAGATTCAGGCTCCTAAGAGCTTACAGAGATAAAGGGCCTTCTTGTAAAGCAAGCATCACGCAGAATGTCTCTCAGGCACCTCCATTCTTGATCAACTCTACTGGGTATGGAGGCCACAGTCATCAAGAAAGGTAAAATAAAAAAAGTGAGACCCTAAAGAGCCATCTTCACAAAAAGGCTCAAGAGACCCACCTACTGTGGCATAGCTTACTACCTTCAGCTCTTATCAAAGCAAGAAATACCCCTCAAACCCCAGTCCATTTGAAATGCTGTAAGGACACTGTTTTCTCACTAACAGTTTTCTCTTCAATAGAGAAACAGATGCCTTACTAAAACATGTCCCTTCATTGGCTAGATTTTGGCAGATGCTTCAACAGCAAATGGAAGTTCAGCCTCAATAGGAGGGAAATCTCATATTCCAACCAGGAGATTTAGTACTGGAAAAGAATCTCCCCTCATTATCTCCTTCTCTATGACCAGTTTGGGAAGGACCACACACTGTGATATTGTCAATTCCACCAGCTGTCAAGCTGGCTTGCCTGGGTTCCTGGATACCAGCACACCCAATCAAGGCCTGGGAATCAGAAGCTGTAACTGATGGTGAGGAAACCATCCAAATACTCCTGTAAACCCGTAGAAAACATGAGATTCTTGTTCACAAAGAAAGCAAAGCCTTCAGATAAATTTTTGCGATGTTACTCTTAGCCCTTTTACTCATCACTTCACCACTTAAAGGAGAGCACAGTTCCTTTCTAATGTGGGCACAGAAATGTACAGGGTTGTTACCACAAACATCTTACTGGAGATGTGGCCTGCTCCCTTTGTTGAGTACACTGGACTTCCTTGGTGGGTATCCCCACTTCCAGGAGATGATTAGAACAAACTACAAGACTATGTCAATGAGTTACAAGGTAACTGAGTGGCCTATAAACTATACCCTTAATGATCCTAGCCATAATCCAAGGTTTTCTACCAATGGCACTAAAGCCTCTCTACAGATATTAGTAAGACCACCAGTAAGTAAGAATAAGTGTCCCATCCTGAGGGCCAACAACCACAGATACCGAGATAGCCATTTTCAGATATGTGTTGATTTCATATGATCAACTCCCACTATAGGTCAGCTTGGTAGAAAGGGCCCCTTATGTTGGGAACAGAAAAATCACTTCTTTTCTCATTGGCCTAACTCCACTTATGCTTAGTGGTATAGGTGGGGCCTTGGTTGTTCTTGTGATGCCAATTCCTCATACTGGCTGACCCAAAGTGCTCCATTTGTAATCCTCCTCTGCTCATCTTTGGGGCATTTTTGAGCAAACCTAGACTTTTTAATTCCTAATTTTCAGTATAAACCTGGCTAAAAGCAACAAACCACATTCATGCTCCATGCTGAAGGTTAGGATGATTTAAAATTTCCTCTGGAAAATTAATTAGTCTGCTGGCCTTAATTTCAGTCTCCCATATAGTTTCAGGACTTGAGCAAAATTTAGGCAAGTTTTCTACCAGAGTATAGCACACATGGCCCAGAGTCCAACTGGCCATGGAGTCCTTGTTCTCTGCTGAAACCGCCTGACCTGGTCTTTACCTTCTGGTTTTTCATCAGGATTCTGGCCTTCTGAGCTCTAAACAGAACCTTGCATTCAGCTCAGCTCACAGCATCCTTAGGGCTTTTCTAGCTAACATCCATAAACCTTTCCTAATTCTACCACTGAACCAGGTCCACAGGCTTCAGAGCCACAGGGTCAGGTTAGCAGTCACAGCAGCGACAACCAGACTCTCAGTACCAGAATCTCTCTCTGTCACTTCACTTGTTGCTGGGGGAAAATATCCAACACCAGAAGCTTAAAGAAAGAAGGACTGGGGCTGGGGATTTAGCTCAGCGGCAAAAGCGCCTGCCTGGCAAGCGCAAGGTCGTGAGTTCGGTTCCCGGTACCAGAGAAAAACCAAAAAAAAAAAAAGAAAGAAGGACTGAGTTTGGCTTGCAGTTTGTTGAGTTTTCAGCCCATAGTTGACCATCTCCTGGGAAAAGCGGTATGAAAGAAGGGAATGGCAGAGGGCAGCTGCTTATTCCTTGGCATCGAGGAAGCAGACAGTGAATGCAGGAGCTGGGCAGTAAACAGACCTCACAGGCCACTCCCCCAGTGACCCGCCCCTTCTGACCAGGCCCCACCTCCTAACATCAAGTCAGTCTACACTGCTGTAATCCAGTCACTTCCTCAGTGCATCACCTGTAAGCGCCTGATGCTCTGGAGAAGCAGCTAGACGCACAGCATAGCTCTGACGGGGAACCCAGAAGATAGATGTCTAACATCGGTTATGAAATGCAGACTCTGTTTTCCATAGCCTTAACAGGGCCTGAACATGTCCTGTGTTCTCTGAGGTCCTAGGGTCACTATGTTGCAGCATTTAACCCAACCAGGTACCCAGGCGTCATGATCACATATTCTGCCTACAGGTGGCTGCATCACCCTGAGTGGTTCAGGGTCTACATTCCCTGGTTCACACAGTTCACACCACTCACTTCCCAGTCTGTGACACCAAGGAGATGCAGCACTTGCTTGGACCACAGCTAGTCTCAGACTCTCCTGTGAAGACTCCATGGTGCACTGGGATTGTCACAGGAATTCTGGGAGTTTTTTCCTTTCCCGGCTATTTTAGCATTTTACATCTACATATTAATACCCACAATTGCTTCTATGTTATGTGTAGTGTAAATAAACACACATAATATTTACAATTACTGCTGATTTTGTTCTTTTTGTTTGTTTGTTTTTCTTCCGGTACCAGGAATCAAACTCATAACCTTGCACTTGCCAGGCAGGTGCTGTGCCGCTGAGCTGAGCTAAATCCCCAGCCCCTACAATTACTGCTTGATAGATGAATCAACAAGTAGGTGTTTTCAGTTTCTTTCCAAACTATCATAGAATATATTTTATCTTTCCCTTGTTTCATCTTAATCTCACCAACTGTGATTGACTTTATCATTTTTAACCTTGAAATTCCCCCCAAATGATTTCAACAACTGCTACCAGTTCTGCAAAGAGCAAACCTACTAAATGGAGTGTTGTTTTGAACACAAGGATTAGACTCCGGAATCTGGGGATGCTTGGTAAGTACTTCATTCACTGTTGCTTAAAACTGAAATGACGCCCACTAGTCTGTGACTTCTGGAACGCAGTTCAAGCATTCGGGGCTGGTGAGGACGCTGCATCTGGTTCTCTCAGGACATTGCAGTCTGCAGGTGCTTTGGCTGGAGCTGCACGATACACAGAATGATGATGTGAGGCAGAGATCACTCAACAGGCTTTTGTGAAAGCAAGAACGTAGACAGCTTAGTACCTGGTGCAGGCTGACAGAGTGCAAGAAGGCCATCCATAAGGAACAGAGAGGAGTAAGCCTTGTTCATAGGGATTGAAGGAAGGCCAGGGACATTAGACAGAAGGGTCTTAATAAACGTCAGTGATCACAGTTCTCCGGCTGTCTTGTACCTCAGCCGGCAAATGTGGGGGACCATCCAGCTGTGTGCTCCTGAGAAAGGAAGTCCCTTGCCTCAGTCTGTCCCTGACCTCTCCTTCAGTCATATTCACTAAGATATATAGAGCTGGCTCTATTGAAACAGATGTGCCCTTAATTGGCTAAAAGAATATGATCCAGTCCAGCTGCAATGCCAGTGTGTCTCATTACTACACACGGGTGAGAACTGCCTCCCCTGCAGATGGCTGGAATGGAGGCTGGAGCAGAAGCCTGTGAGATTCCAGGGCTGAGACATGAGACCACAGCTCCACTGAGGCCATGGGACTCAGAAAGAATTATTCCTTCCTGACAGTAAAGGTGCCAGCCTTGCACACATCAAATTGTTGTACTGCTAACTGGAGAGCCTTTGTGCCTGATACAAAATTTTTTTGGGAGGGGTACTGGGAATCGAACTCAGGACCTTGCACTTCCCAGGCAGACCCTTGTGCACTGAGCTGTATCCCTGGCCTCTGATACAGAATTCCTGTTTCTTATTACAGCTGAAACCTGCAACGTTTCTTTGCCCTGGCACTCTACCACAACCCACACCCACATCCTCAATTGATACCAATAAAACGCAGGAGCTTTTGGACACGGAGCCATTTGTTCCACAGAGAATAGTGGCCATCCCAGAACTCTCATTTGCAGAACTTTCTCTCTTTCTCTATATCTTGCATCCATGTGCCATAATTCCAGGTGAGAGACCTGAAACTCTTGGTGGAGGTTTCAGTAGGCAAAGTCCTTGAGGCATCCATGTAAGTCTTTGGGTGTCCAGATGTCTGGGACCCTAAAAGATCCCTTGTCCTGTCTCATGTCTTGAAGACATCCTGTGTTTGCCAAGAACAGTGTTGGTGCTGAGCTGAGTCTCTGCTGAGAACAATGCTTCTGCTGGCAAAAGGTTCAGTGCTAGGAGAGTCACATCCAATTCGAGATTTACACACATCCCAGCTAGGAATTTATATGCCAAGGAGCACCCAGTCACAGACTCTGTGAGTGTCACCTCCCACAGGCGTCCCCCCCAGTGGCTCCCATGGAAGGAGTGAGTGATGCAGGTGACCCAGTACACTGTGGTCTGTAGGATGTGACTTCCACGCACTGTTACACCTGCTGTACTATGTTAGTCACAGCCCTTACTCTGTGAAGGTGCTTGTACACAGTGTCATCAGGACCTGAGTGAGAGAAGTTAAAGGTCCTCAGGGGAGATGGACACAGATGCCATCAGTCTTAATCTTACAGTCAGATAAGCTCTGCCTCACGTGTACATCCATGAAAACTGCACACATAAGAACACGTTCATCACTTCAGGAAGTGTCCTTGGTCCTCTCTCAGTCAACACATCCCAAACCAAATAATCCTGTACTTTGCTTGGAAAATGTAGAGTAGTCTGTTCAAGAACACCAGACGTGGAAACAAACAGTACGCAGCCTCTGATATTCAGTGTATTTTGCTCAGCATAGCTCTGATACTTATATTATTCACTGTAATAGCAGTTTTTTGTTTTACAATTATATTCAATTGCATAAATGCACTGAAACTTGTTTTTAAATTATTTTGATGAGAGTTGAGTACATTTGCAGTGTTTACAAAATTATAAAAAGCTGCTATGAGATTTTTGTGCTAGCTTCTTGATTCATGTTCCATTTGTCTACATCACAAAGCTAGCAGTGGGGATGCTGGTCATAGGCTGACTGTGTGTTTATGAAAATCTTCCAGTAACATTCTCATGGAGTTTGTCACTGTTTTCAGTCCCAGCACCAGTGTGTGAGAGTTCAGTGTCCTCTTTCCTCGCTGAGATTTGTCAATGATTTCCCCAGGCTGGAGCACGGGTGGCCTGTAGACTTCCACTGTTGAATATGATGGATGCTGGAGACCACTTGGTTCTATTCAGTACTCCCAGTTAATGCAGCCTTTTACTTCAAGAAGCGGGGATGTCCTTGAACTGAGAAATCCAGTTGTCTGGCCATTTATTAAATAAACCAAAGTACATATGAAATCTAAATATTTTATAAAATATGTTCAGTCCATAGAAGTAGAGAGTGAAGAACTGTTTACCAGAAAATGGGGTAAGGGGGGCAACAGGGAAACACAGTTAAAGGGCACAACTTTGAATTAGAGGGTGGACGTGTTCTGGAGTTTCACTACCCAGCACGGGAGGTGATGGCTCTTAGTATGATTCTGGTAAACATTACATAGTGTATACATATCCTATCAATAAATCATCTTTTATATTTTCCATATATATCATTGTCAAGTAAATATTTTAAAACTTAAACAGGACAAGAAAATTGAGAAGTACTGGAAAACGTCTTTGCAAGCATTCTTGCTGGTAAGATTCGATCTTAATGTGGCTATCCTTAAGTTAGGGTCTCCGTGCACTGATGTTAGCACAGATGTGGTTAGACAAATAAGCAGCACCTCATTTTACCAGTCAAAAAGCCACAGTTATTGGCAAAACATAAAAATACTGTCACTCTGTTCTAGAGCACGGTGAGAAATGCACGGCAGTGATCTACTGAGGAAGCAGACAGCTCTTCAGAATCTCATGCGCAAATCGGGGAGAAGAAGAAGCTGCATTTCTCAAAGGAAGGACAGACGAAAATGTATTAAGGGGAAGTGGGCTGCATGGCGAGCAGTGGAAATGGCCAAATAACAGGGAATATACTTAATTATCCACACGGCTAAGAAGCAGCCTGGGCCTTTAGTGACCGATGCCCCCAGCCCTGCCCTGCGGCATCCTGGCTGGGACGCTGCATGCTGTCCTGGTCCGTGGGTACGAGCCTGTGGAAGGCCCCTTAGCTGTGCTCCTGGGGGGCAGCTTCCTCTGGTGCTCACACTGGGAGGATGGTAAGGGCAGGACACACTCCTGGATAGGGACGTTTCATCAGAAAACATGGCCTCAAGGGCTGCGTGAAATTGCCTGTGAATGTATGGAGTATACTAAATTGCTTCACATCAAAGAAAGAGATCAGTCCTTGCTCATATTGCAGAAAAATCCCCACTATCAAGGGAGGCGCTACAACCTTAAGATCAACACGGGATTGAAAAAGAGCCTGGTAGTTATTAAAAATCCTGCTTATGTTCCAAAAACCATTCTCAGGATGAATATCCTCAAAATTTAGTTCCCTGTTGACTGAATCCGAGCACAGTCCCACCGTCCAGATTTCGTTTCTTCCTACATCCACCTCCCAGTAATGGTGCCCACTCGAGAAGGTGTTTTGACCCAGCACAGCTCGGAGAGAAGTAAATCTTCCAGGACTGTCAGGAACAGCTCGCTCTCTCGACAAATATTCAACACGTTTTCCACCCTCTGACACAAAGAGCTTAGGGTGAGCAGTGTTTTCATCCAGAACTATGTCTTCTGCAAAAAAGGAAGAGACCCATTACCCATAGGCCTTGAGAAAAGAGCTTTGGATTATGTGAGTGCTGTCAAAGGAGGGGCGAGGACACAGCACAGGGGTCCAGGAGTCCTTCCCACAGCCCACGGCCCATGACCCCGCCCATCTACAGGTGCAGAGATCTTTCCTTTCAGGGAAACCCCTTCAAAACCCTTCACCTCTGGACCTGATCTGTGCTGTCACCTCAGTTTCTGAGGACACGGTTGGTAGGAATGGGGGACATGGGGCCGACACCTGGGAAAGGTGTTACCAGTGATCTGATGCCTATGGTGCTTCCCGGGTTCTCACACAGGACACGGCGTCCACGGGGAGAGGCAAACTGCCACAGAGGGAGCAGGAGACCACGGGACAGCAGCACAGAGCAGCGTGGTCAGTGTGTTTGTTATGGTTTGTGTCTGTGTCCCCCCAAAGCCTCATGCAGCCATGGGGCAGGCTTTTAGAGTTTGATTGAATATGGGTGTGAGAGCTACACCCACCCTAGGGTGGATAGTTTGCATATGTAAGGAAGAGGAAGAGGCTGCTTGAGGCCATTCCTCCCCCATTCCTCGCTGGTGTGTGCTTGTTGCTTTTGCTGTGTTCAGAGGCCAGGAGCGGTAGCTCTCTGCCATGTGCCACTCTGCCTTATAATCTGCCAAGTACGGATTGAAACTTCCAGAAACTGCAAGCGAAATAAACCCTTCCTTCCTTAATTTTGGGCATCAGGTATTTTGTCCCAGCAACGAGAGAAAAGTATCCAAGAAAGTGTTCATGGGGAGGAACCCGGGCAGGGCAGGGAGGAGAGTGAGGGGAGGAGAGGAAGGAGGGAGCTGGAAAGGAGCAGGGCCAGAGGGTGAGGACTGCTGGGCCGGGGGGCTGTGTTTAGGGTTGGACCCTTATTAGGTCATAATGGGGAAGAGTGAGGTGGTGAACATTGGAGAGAATTAGGATTCCCAGCTATTTATTAAGGCTTTCTGTAAAGACAGAAAAGACAGTGTAACAGCAAATGGAGAAATTAAATCAATACCAGTTATTGTTAACTGGTTTTCTTTCTTTGAAGGAGAAAAGCCATCACATGTGAACGTAGAGGGAGAGCCTGACAGACCTAAAGGATGTCATGCTACAGGAGCCAAGAGGAGGAGGGGAGACTTTCCTATATTCAAGGCTCTTTCATAACTCTGAGGTGTTCAGGTGCTGATGCCCCTGGGTCAGGGAGGGGAAGCCCCCTGCTCCTGACTGGCGCAGACCTTGCCCTGGCACTGAGGTGAGTTCCCTGCATCTGTGCTCTGTGAGGTGCTGTGTGCGGGTCTGGAATCCTCCTTGGCCTGGGTTCACATCCCGGTGCTACTAGGAAGGGAGGGGTTTTCAATGGTGGGGCCTGGTGGAAAACCCTGGGTCACCGGGCACAGCCTGTGCAGGAGAACTGGGCGCCCTGCTCCTGTTTTCTTCTCCGCCTTGTGGTCAGTGGTTCTGCTTGTCTCCCACCCTGACTGCTGCCCTGACTCAGGAGTGAAACCCACAGCACGTACTGCCCATGACCTGAAACTTCCAGAACCCTGAGAGAAAGTGAAACTTCCCTTTGTACAAGATGATATGGCAGGCATATGCGAAAGCACAGCAAAGCATGAGTCCCTTGTCTATTCATTGAAGAGTGTTTTCTCACATCTCCCACCTTCAGTGTGTTGGTTTTTACATAACCTCAGGTGCACATGTCCAACATCAAGACGCTTCTTGCTTCACATGCATCTTCCAGATTATTGGGCAAAACCTTTCCTTTCACACTAGAATCCCACACAGGTGAGGTGGCAAACATGAAGTCACTTTAGGTTGTTTCCTTTGCAATTACCTGCAAATCCTCGAGCTGTCTTCAGACCTACAACTAGATGGAGACATAAAAGTTAGCGGAGTGGCTGGGCAGGCAGGGCCGATGTAGGTAACAGGTGTGGGGTGTCAGTGGTGAGAATCAGGACTGTACTTACCGTTCTTTTCCAGAAGATTTCTTTGTTCTGCAAATGATCAAACAGAGAGATAAGTATTTTGATAACACACAGACTGAATTTTCAGTTTAGCCCTGGAAAGAAGACAATTTACCAAGTTCTTCAGTAAGTCTCTCTAAAAGTAAACAAGATACAAAATGTACAACAGACATTCTGAAAGGGGAAGAAACTGCTCAAAAACAAAGAACAACTGGGATGAGGGAAAGGAAAGAAGAAGAAAGGGAAAAGAAAAAATACATAAGATAGATAAGATAATTATACCACTGACTTCTATTAGTTCATTGAAAGGACTGGTTTGTGTTTATATTGTCTGATTGATTTATCATGCCTATATCTTGTAATCTCAGCAACTACTTTGAAAATAACAGTATGCCATATATTTACCATTGTTAATCTCATATTATCTTGTTTTGAAATTCTGTATCACTGTTTTTATGTTTTTTTCTCTTAAAATGTAAATTTTAAAAATGTCAAAGGAATATGAATTTTTGAAACCCTAAGAAAATTTTCCCTAGCCTTTGTCTTGATATGATTTTTAAAATATATGGAAATATTTGTTGAGCTTTCTGGACTTTGAAGCAGAGGACAAAAAGGGCCACTTGTCCTCAATTTTTATGTGGAACACCACCAGACTTGTTAGGAATAATACCATTAAGGCAGTATTATTTAAGACCTTCAAGTTTCACAAGCAGCTTGTTATTGCTAACCTATTGGTCCATTAGTTCAGTTTATATCTTCACCAGATTCCTGAGTTTACTACAAATATTTCCTATATGCTCAGCAAACATTTCTGAGGTCCAGCTCTAGCCAGGTGCAGTCTCTCCTCTCACAAGGAGACCTCTGCAGCCTTCATTACAGCCCAGTGCAGGGAGCAAAGTGGAATATAAAACAGAAAGGGACCTCAGCACTCCCGGAGGGGGATTTTTGTGTCTGTTTCATTACAATTATTTCTTAGAAGAAAAATAGGTTCATATACTTGGAAATGTCAGAGAAAAGAAAACACATTTCACTAGTTTCCTTTACCTGCATTTAATCACTTAAGGTATCTCACACTTACATCCAGAATATTTTTATTCCACAACAAATATACAATCCAAAAAAATCTACCTCATCATTTGTCACAGTCACGGAGACAGTAATTTTAAAGTACTTGCTCATAAAAATCAGTAAGTATCACTCAGTGCCATCAAATAGCTAGATGATATTTCTTTTTATTAGTAATGTACATTGAGCTAGTCCTCTCTTGGCACTGATGTAGCAAAGTTTTTCCTAATGATAAAACAAAGAATATTTAAATTTTCCTCTGGTAAAAAATAAAGACATAGAAATCAGCCTTGTGAGCGAATGTGTAAAGTTAAATAGTGTCTGGAGGGGGCTGGGGATTTAGCTCAGCGGCAAAAGCGTCTGCCTGGCAAGCGCAAGGTCGTGAGTTCGGTTCCTGGTACCGGAGAAAAACCAAAAAAAAAAAAAAAATAGTGTCTGGATATAACAGCCAAAGACAAAGCAATAAATTAAAAACATAAGAAATCCTAGATACATTTTCTTGGTCCAATGTCACACAAGACCCTGTCCCATTATAAACGGGGCTGTGACCTGCAAGAGATCATTACTGGAGGAGAATTAATAAAAGATCAGATGTAGGAGCTGAGAATGCGCTGGATCTCCGGTCAGGGAGTGGACAGTGTCCACAGATGCCCAGGCTGGAACAGGGCCACTCCCTCTGCCCTCCTCCTCACCCCCTCATCTCCTGCTCCACCTTGGATTTTCCCCAGGCCCTGATTCCAATCTCACCAAAGCACTAGGACGCTGTTTTCTGTCCTCCCTCCACCGTCTCTGTTAGAGTTTTGAGTCTTACAGTTACGGCTCCCTCACTGAACTCTAATTCACAAGTCAGTGGACTCTGGTGCAGTCACGTTACAGCCCAGGCCATGGGATCACAGTGCTGCCCTCTCTCCACTCAGAACCCGGCCGCGCTCTGCACCACTTAGAAGATAAATATGCAAATTCTAAACTTCCCTGCAGTGGTGCTGACCATTGGCCCTCTGTCCACCCCTCCACTCTCATCTCTTCTGCCAGTTCTTCCCTATCTTTCATGTTTAGCATTTGCTATTTTTTAGTATCAAACATAGGAGATAGGACTACTTATATTTTACTTACATATATATCATCATTATAAACTGCAGTGTGTAGTATATGGGATTGTTTGACAAATGACAATAAAAGTATGATGAGTACAAAATAACTTTTCTGATTGGAATAATTTCATATGACTTATTAATTTAAAAATAAATGATTTCCTTCTCATAGCTGTGGTTTTATTGTATGTTGAATTCCAAATATCCTTTTCTCCGAAGTAGTATTAATTCAATTTAAGGAAAAGGAATTTAGCAGAATTATTGGAAATGTAAACATACCATTGCAGAGGCTTTCATATTGGGATTAATGTGGCCAAGATAAATTCAGTCTGGATAGATTTGTGTTGGGGAGGTTGATCTAGAGCCTGATCATATTTAATCAATTGTTTGTCTATGGGAAAAGATTTATTTAGATGGAAAACCTGAAACACTGAGTGTAATTTAAAAGTTAAACAAGAAAGGCAAGGTTACAAGCATCTTCATACTTGCAGCCAGGTCCACAGCCCGAATTTTTCTGATGTTTACAATGGCAGAGGTGATACATAAACTCTCTGAGAGCTTTTTGATGGTGCTTTTCCTTAATTTAGTTTTAAAATTTGCTGTCCACAAGGCTGTGTGAGCCTGGAGAAGCTCGGCTTTGGGAGAGAAGAGAGACAGCAGGACCTGGGGAGCAGCTTCCTCACCCCAGAGGGAGCAGCCTCACCAGGAGCAGCTCGGAGCAGCAGTTCAGGGTCTTTAGCTGCGGGGCTCAGGAGAAGCTGGGGTAGACTGGGGTCTCTTGAGTAAGCAGGACGCAGCTCTCCGCAGGGCTTGGAGCCTTGGTGGGGACACTGTGTGGGAGGAACAGGGTCCTGGGCCCCTTTGGAACAGGGCAGGGGCAGCTTTCTGACATGAAGAGCCAGGGGAAGTGTACTTCGAATCTGCACTCTGTGAACTTTATTTCCAAGAAAAATGTAGAATTTAAAGAGCAAATTGCCCTCATTCCATTGACTATGGTGAAAGAATCCTGGGTGTCATAACTCGTGTTTGCTGCTGAGTTGTGATTGCCTCTGACCCTGGGCTGTGATGGAAACAGGAGAACCTGTCCTCCCCCATGGTCACAGAGTCAGCCAAGAGCGTTTCCTGGGCAAAGACCCCACTGTCAAGTTCATGAGCTCATGTAGAGATTGGCTTCCTAAGGGAAAGTGACCTATTTAAATATAAAATGCCAAACGAGCACCACGTTTCTTAGAGTGCATCTGAAAAGCACATAGCAAAAGCAATCAGGAGAGAACAGTGAACATAGGGTTACAATAAGTTTTAAATAGTTATTTTGTTACTCTATGAGGGTAAGTTAATGATTTAGGGCACGTGATGTTTGTAATATCATAACATTAAAATTAGGAGTACATGCTGGTTGAGTCTTTTTAACTTCAACAAGCATATAGGATGAAAATGTTCATTCTCATGATAATTTGTTTTGTATGTAATGATTTTAATGGGTGAACTTGTTCTTTTGTGGAAGAAATTTCATGATCCCTAAGTAGATATCATAGATCAATCGTAATTTCATTGGGATCCAGATGTAGATATAAAACCGTCTCCTTTCCAGGACCACTAGCTGCACAACTACTATCAAGAATTGAGAAACTGCCTCTGAGTCAAGGTGCTTAGATGTGTCAGCATTCAATCCTGAGTGTAACCTTGTGTCACAAACACCAGCACCATGACCACTTAGAAGTCAGATATATATTCGAGGAGGTTGATATCATGATGTCTTTTGAAAGAGCACCAAAGTTACTAAGTATCACAATTTCACTTAAACCCAGATCTGCACTGTCAGTCTGGAGCAGATTGTCCTCATATCTCATATTTGTCTTCACATCTTAAAAATGAGTGCTGATATTATGCACGTTGTCCACCTTGAGAGAAGCTAGTGACTGCCTTGCTGACTGAACATGAAAAAGAACCACACAAGGCACAGAGAATTTCTCTCTCTCACCCAAACTGTTCTCATTAAGTGGACTACCCACTACTTAATTTATTTTTTTTTTCTTTTTTTCGGTTTTTCTCCAGTACCGGGAACCGAACTCACGACCTTGCGCTTGCCAGGCAGGCGCTTTTGCCGCTGAGCTAAACCCCCAGCACCCCACTACTTAATTTATATGGTGATTAACAAATTCACTTTATAACTGTGGAGGCCAGTAACAAAATAGTGCGTAATTACACATGGGTGGAGTTTTGGTGTGATTTATTCAGTTCTCAGAATGTTCTCCTCTCAGGGGATTCCCTCTTGCTTCTCTCTGAAAATATTACTCCTTACAAGGAAGTCTCTTTCCTATCCTAGGATAGGAACAACCCTTCTTATAGAGATCACCATAGGCTGATGGAGTCTCTGCTGCCTGGGCAATTTTGTACAAAATTGATCAAGCTGTTTTCATGGCGATGCGATGCTATATTTCCTGGCATTTAACCTACTTTTCATTTCTTAGCAATCACCTGGCTAATGTGTGTCTCCTCTGATGAAATCAGAGCTCCTCCTGCTGCAGGCCGCTCCTGCCTTGCTCCTGCTGGTTTTCTCCTTTATGTTCCAACACTTTCCTCAGCTCGGAGCTCAGATCCAGTCTCACTGCCTCAGCCAAGTCCCTCCTGACCTCTAGCTCTGCTCGCACTGTTTTCTCAAGGAGCCCTGTAATTACTCTGCTCCACAGCCTTTATAAAACACTAGCTTCGAATTTACTTCAAAAGCATAATTTTTACATCTATCTTTCTTTTCTTTTTATTGAAATGTTTCTCACTCCGTAGTCCAGGATGGCCTTGAACTCCTGGCACTCCTCCAGCCTCAGCCTCCAGAGCGATGTCAGTATGCGCATGCGCCACCACGCCCATCAGTGTTCAGATACCAGTTACCTCTGCTGTTTCTTTGTCAGAGCGCATGCAACAGGCAGGCAATTACTCTATAAAGAAAAAGCCACTGGTCCTCATCCAATGGGATATGCAAGACCTCAGATTCCAGGTGCTCATGTGGTTTAAATGAAGCAGGTTGTTTTTCTATATACCCCTAACAACCTTCGCCATGCGATAAGTACAACTGCTTTATAAAAATTAGTAGGAAGATATTTGAGTTGTCTCTAAACAACACTTCAGATTAAAAGAAGGCATTCTATTACATGTAGATTTCATTTATCTTACAACTGTAAAAGTGCATAAGCTGTGGACTGTTACTTGATTTTAAAGATTCAAATATTGCCTCTCAAGTATCACTTACTGTGCTGTTGCTTTATTTCTTCCGCCTAGGGAATAAAGCAAAACAAAACCAAAGTATGTGACCCAACTTTTTCTTCTCCTTACTCACAATACACTCATCCCCTCCCAGAATTTATGCTCTTTGACAAAAGGGACCTTTTAGCCTGAGACTTGACAGTTCAGCACTGGTGGGCACAGAGATGGACTGCATTTTCTGAGCAAAGCAGTTAGAACTCAAAGTGAAAAATGTACTGTGTGTATGATTGCACTCATTGGAAATCATGAATATTAATAGGCTCTCCTCATTTCTTAAAATTTGGCAATGATCAGCTCCACATGTGAGAAAATAGGTGAGCAGGAAATAATAACCAATACATTCTTCTCAGAACATTCAAAGGATTTTTCTAAAATAGGTCTGAAGACTTTCAATTCTTCACCATGCATTGAGGCAGTGGCCTAGCAAATGATGAAAAGAATCTGGAGTAATGAAAACGGTTACGAGTCACAGCACACAAAAGGTGTTGTGTTGCTTAGGGCAGGGGACATGGCTCAGTGGCACAAGCACCTGCCTGGCAAGCCCAAAGTCCTGAGTTTGATTCCCGGAACCAGAAAAAAGAAAAAAGAAAAAGGTGTCACTTAATCTACCTCTGGTCATGGAAGGGTACATCTTGGATGGTCAAGTCAAGCCATCAGCCTTGTACACTTTCTTGGGACTAAAAGTGTAATCCACATCTCCTAGTGTCTCTAAAATAACGAGGCAGGTTTCTGATCCTCAACTTAAAGGATTTCAAAACTGTACCCGGTTCAGCTGGGTCAGACCATGTATTAATCTGAGCCTGATGCTTATTCAACCACCAGGGTGACAGGTGCTTGGCAGGAGAATTAGGACCAATGGGGATTCCATGTCCTGGCCACTCGATCATCCTGAATAAATAATCTCTGTTTGTGTTTCAGCAACAAACGAAATAAAAAAGACCCCAGAAGAACTACTTTTATGCTAACTAAATAAAAATCTAGTATGTCTCCTGGATTAGCTAATTCATATAATAAATATCTTGCCAAAAGCTCTTCTCACTGAACATTTGGCTAAGGATGACTACACTCCTCCCAGCTGCACACGCTTAGCACTGGTGCATGGAGTGGTCAGAGGCTACTGGCTCTCGGCAGGAGCAACCTCATTGGATCTCAGCTTCAGCCTCCCAAGACCCTGTCCTCACACGGATCTCAGTGTCCATTTGTGCAGCCTGTGAGCCCCTCCACACTTACATTCAGGTCTGCTCGCTCTGCTCACCTCCTGTGAAGTTGCTAAGGTGGAGCAGGCGGAGGCTCCGGAGAAGAAGGACAACGGCTTGTGTTACATGAGAGCAACATCAGAGTAACTTTTAGCTCATCATCTCCTGTACTTTTCATGCGTTCCCTGATGGGCGCTGAATGTTATGGTCTCCTGAGGACCCCTCACTCTTCTCCTTTCTCCTGAGGTGAAGGGTCATCTGGCTGGGTGGCCGTGGTGGCTCCACTAGGCTGCTCTGGCCACAGAGCATGATCAGAAACCAGGCTGCCTCATGATCAGAAACCAGGCTGCTCTGCTCACCTGGACCTAGTGTGCCCAGAGAGGCCAGCAAAGCCTGAGACTAATTACAAGACACGGGAGGGTTCGTGAAAATTGGGTGTCATATGACATTTATAACATAAAACGTGAAAAACACCACAGGATTTAATTTTCTAAAGAAAAAAGTATATAAATAAGAAGCACCCTACCATTAAACTGGTATTTGTGTATCAGTCAGGTCTGAGCTGGACACTGAGCTGGACACTGAGCTGCACACCCAGATGGACGCTGAGCAGGCCCCTGGTAGCCGTGGTGAAGGACACCTGGCCTCTCATTGTCCAGCTACTTAGCTCCCTGCCATGTGACCACGAGGGGCATGGCTGTGGGTCTGGGGGCACTTGGAACCCTCTAGGATGAGGGTCACCTGGGCCCCATGGGAGAGGCAGGATCAGTCCAGAAATAGTCAAGAGAAGAGGGACCGGGAAGAGAGAAAACACTGAAGAAATCCCCGATGAGAGCAAAGACTGTGCAAACCAAAGAGTTCCTCCTCCTCGGGGTTCTTCCATTGAAATTTAGATGAACAAGATTTTCTAAGTTCACTCTTGACTTATACATAACTACTGTCCCACGATCCCACCACCAATGAGTCAGCCCACGCTGTTTTCCCCTTTACCTTGGGCTCTTCTAGATCTCAGTAGGACAACACAGGTGATCATCAAGATGACGGCCAGGAGCACAGGCGGTGCCACTGTCCAGGCGCTGACCCGGGGAAACAAGGCCTCTGAAAGACAGGAAGCAGCTGCTGTACCCAGCGGGACACCGACTGACTCGGCTGCTGGGCTCGAGTCCGGGGATGATTTCTCCAGGGAGAGAGCAGGGCAGAGACGCTGAGCCTCAACCTCACTGCGACTTTGAGGAACTCAGGATCTGAGAGTCTCCGGTGTCCCTGCTTCCCCGATGAGACCCAGGAGGACCCTAAATAATTTAGGAGATACGTGAACATGCTGAATACAGAAATCAGTGCAACAGATATTCATGCATCTACCATGCAGATTGAATCCCATATTTATACATGTACCATGCAAGTATCCATAAATGCAAGTACACTGAGTGTTCCGAACACAAGTACACAAAAGTATTTATAAGTACAAGTACACTGCGCTGTTGCTTTATTTCTTCTGCATAAGGAATAAAGCAAAACAAAGCAAAGTATGTTACCCTATTTTTCACTCTCCATACTCACAATAAACAGAGTGGAGGGGAGACCCTTCCCCTCACTCTTCAAGGGAACTTGCCTGGGTCCTCTCTGTCCAATTATTTCCACCTGTCCATAGCTGTGAGCCCAACCTTATGCTGAGGACTCAGGTGGGGACGCTCTACAATTACAGCGGGGATGTGGACTGGTGTCAGAGGATAAAACATGTAGATGTCAAGTCCACACCTGAAAGGCAATTCCAGCTCACAGCAAGGGTTCATCTGAAAGGTGTGACTGTCTGTCAGTTACTTAAATTTGAAAGAACAACTCTGATGTCAGAGTTTACCTGTGTGATGGTGTGAGCTCAGAAGAGAAATGAGGACATTCTCATTCACGAACAATTTTCATTCCATAATTTGAAAAACATGCTTATGTATTAATAAGTGAATCAGATAATTGCTGTTTAATTGCTTATGCATAATTAGTTCAAATTATATAAATATAAAGATGCCTTCTTTATCTACCTCATGCTCTACCATACAGGTTTCAGGAGTTTTCTGGCTTTAGGATTAATGAAAATTATATTTCTTTTTGTTGTTGTTTTTTTTTTTTGTCTTCCAATACCAGGAATTGAACTCATGACCTTGTGCTTGCCAGGCAGGCACTCTGCCGTTGAGCTAAATCCCCAACCCCTAAGACAATTGTATTTTTACCTACAACTCTTTATTCTCTCAAATATGTCCTGCCATCCTCTATTGGCATGAAAGCCTAACTACAACATGTGGGCTACTGCATCACCTCAGATTTTGTTTTTCTAAAGTTCACACTAGAAGCTTACTCCTCTGATACATAATTTTATCTTTATAAGCTCTCTCTATAACTGCCTTTAGTGAGTGTATGTTGCCAAACTAAATCACATGAAGGACATTTTTTTACTAGTTCTTAATTTCTATATTAATTTGGGAATATATTCTGGCATTAATTAACTTACTGACTAGTGAGGACATTCAAAGTGAGAAAGCAATATCTACAAGTTTATATAGTACTTGGAGATAGAGAAAAATAAAATTCAAAATAAATAGGGAGCATAGAGAAGCACTTAGCGCATGCCGAGCTGGGCGTGGCTCCTGGAAAGGGCGCAGGTGTCGGGGACCAGCAGGAACTGCTGCTGTGGGAAGACAGAGGAGCCCAGCAGTCAGCGCCATGGGCGTCGGTGCTGTGTGGGGAGGGAGATGGCGGAGAAGGAGAGAAAGGGGCAAAAGCTGAGGCTGGAGAGGACAAATGCACAGGGAGTGAGCAGCGAGTCCACAGGCTCCGCAGTTCCTCCGAGACTGAGGAGAGCAGTCACGGAAGCTGCAGGGAGCATCCGAGCCACACGGGACTCCTGGGAGCGGTCACTGTGGACGGAGCACAGCGCAGACTGCGGCGTGCAGCTCTTCTCCGCCCTCGGATGCCTGACGTGACTCACTGCTCACCACGGTCTAACGACACAGACAGCGGGGTTATTGCTGTTCAACAGCGGACTGGACAGACAGTGGCCAGTACTTGTCCAGTGTCACAGGGCCAACAGGTGGCAATGCCGGGACTTCAACTTGATGTGACATGAGGAGGAATAAACTCTCTGTTATGCAGGACTCGCCCTTGTAAATGTCATTTGACAAGTTTGCCTTGAACTTCAACACATTCCAAAATACTCTGTTATACTTACATGTTTTGTTTATCCATGACATCATTTATTATGAAGTGACATAATGCTTCACTGTGCAAAAAAAATAAAATAGAGAAAAGCAGGTATATTTACCTGGCTTGCCAAATAAGAGTTGGAAGTGTGTGAACTGGACCATTCTTCAAGTCTTTCCATCAGGGTCATCGCTAGTGCACCTCCCCACCAGGTGCTGACATCGCACGATGAGGGATCTGAGGGAACTCACCGGCCACTGAGAGACTCGCCTTCTTCTCCTCTCTGAGCACAGGGTTCCTGATGGAACAGGACACATCTGCTCTTGAGCTTTCCTCCACTGTGACGGAGCTTTCCACGTGGATCAGGCCATCATCCTGTACAGAATTCCTCACAGAGTCAGGTGACAGGGGCCGTCCTTGTGGGTCCCTCCACTGGAGCTCAGGGTCTGGGTACCACCCCGAGGATGAGCAGGTCAGCATAATGCTCCCGGTGTGCGCAGGCTGAATGTGGATGTGAGGAGGGGCACCTGAGGCTGGAGGAATCACAAAAGGGAAAATAATGCTACTCTGTGAATTTAGAAACATGTCAGATGGTCCAGTCAGCTTGGGCTTACTAATTAACCTCTCTTTCGAATCTCAACTCTGTGTTTGCAAACACAGGTTTATAGAAATGTTGGCCATAAAGTATTTCCCCACACAACGGCTTAAATAAATGAAATTAAGCATAGCAGCACTTAGCAAAATATCCAATACCAAGTAGTCCTGTATCTTTCATTTGGTTTTCCTCCTTCCCCTCGGAAGGGTTATTTATCCTTCCATCCGATGACTCCTGAGATGGGTGGTGAGATACTCTGTCCAGTTGGAGCTGAGAGCTGCAGATCACACAGCACCCCTTGGTTTTCTGTGTAAAATACAGTTGATCTCACAGCACTCACTTAGCTCTTCTTGATCTGCAGCAAAACTTTCCACAGGAACCTGTGACGTGGGGGCGGTCCTGTCAGCGTGGTGCAGTCCATCACACACCAGCAACGTGTGTGTGTGTGTGTGTGTGTGTGTGTGTGTGTGTGTGAAGCACATGCAACATGGTTGTAGAAACTAAAAACTGCTCCATTTTACTTGTTGTCAATCCAGTTAAATTTTCAGAACAGCACCAGGTAGAACACCATACTGCAGCAGCATGTTGAAATGCAGTCCCTGTCTGCGAGCACCACTGCCAGCTAAGCAGGTCACAGGCCTAGTGCGCCTAGTACTCAGGACTGGACTTAAGATGCTGACGGAAGCGATGCGCTGGCTGTGCCCTGCATATACTGCACCAAGTGACATGAGAGGAAGGCAGCAAGCCGTCCCTTTCAGCTCCAATTCCCTCTCTACGGTTGGCTTGGGTCCTCTTCAAAGTGGACAGGACGGCTTCACTGAGGGGTGCTGGCATCTCAGATTGAAGGACAGGGAGACCTCACAGTGTCCACCCATTCTTCTACCCCAGATTCACTGCTTCTTGCTCCTCGCAGGAGCACTGGGTCAGGACGAAGCCCAGCGTGCAGCAGGGCGGTGCACACAGCAGATGCCTCACCTGCTCCCGTGCTGTGTCTGTCCACAGGACCGGTCTCGGGTAAGGAGGTGGGGAGAGGAAAACGCAGTCAGGAGCAAGAGGGGAAGCTGCAGCACTGAGCTCTGGAGGAGAGCAGCCCTGCTGAGGGCAGCACAGCGTCTCCTTGAAGGGAAACAGTGAGGAGGAGGCAGGGAGAGGCTCTGGGTCCCTGCAGAGACCGCATCTCCAGGAGGAACAGATTCCTGACCTGGGCCTCACTGCGCTCCTCCAGGAGGACGGGGCAGACTAAAGAAATGAGGGTCGGTGGCCACACGACTAAGAAAGCACAGCTCCTGAGAGGGTCCATGAGCTTCAGCTCTGAGCAATCAGCCCAGGGGTTCAGGTGTCCTCTGAGATGTGCTCATGTGGAGCAAGGAAGAAGACTGGATCAGCATAGGATGCAATTTTTCTAGTGTATCATAAGAGAAAAGACAACAAATCTGAAATGTTTCCCACATTATTAAAAACAGAGACAATTTCCTGGAGAATATAGAAAGAAGACACCAGTGAATTTAGGGACCAATCCTTCTGTGGAAAAACATGGATTCTGCAGAACATATCTGTGATTGGTTATTATTCCACATTTTGAATCTCAAGGACACAGTATAAAAATTTACATCTGCAAATGTAGTACTTAACTACAGGGGCACAAATCCAAAACACAGTAGAAGCTAACGTTTTCAGTGACTTGCGTTACAAGTGTTCCAAAATCTATTAAACTTTCCTAAAAAGCCTTTAGCTTGACAAACAGGTGATGTCTGCCAGTAAGAGTAGTGTCACAGCTGAGCCGATGGCCTCTCTCCCTTTCTCTCTCCTTTTCTGTCTCTCTCCATCTCCTTCTGGGATTGAATGTGATCATGTCCAAAATGCCAGAGGTTACTCAGGAGATGTCTTCTGCAGAGGAGGAGGAAAAAAATGGAGGAAGAATCCCTCATTTCATATGACATTAGGGACACGTGTAAAATGTGGAAAACGGTGCAAACTTCTGTTGAAAACCACAAGAATAAGTTCTAGTGGTATTAGCAAAGACTCTGATTAAGAACAGTACAGTGTCACATCTCCACAAGATGCTCAAAGGAGACAAAAGCCAGTGACAGTGGACAGGTTTGTTGTTAAAGTTGCATAAAAAGAAAAAGATTCCACTGAGTCAATAGACAGCACTGATGCTATTAGTGACAGTGAAAGTCTCCTACACGATGACCCTCCTCTCTCTTGTCTCCCTCACACCAGCCGGAAAGCTGTTCAAAGGTAAGAGCAGGATAATTTGTTATTTTTATTTATACCTTGTATTTTGTTCTCACTACAATATTGTAATCATTTTATATGGGGTGTAGAACAAATCTTCTGGGTTTCATTATTTCTTAAGCAGAAATTTGCTTTGATGCACAAGTGCTCTGGATACAAGCGTGTCTGTGGAACACATTATGTCTGCAAACCAAGGTTTCGCCGTATCTCACTGCTCATGGAACGTGAGAAAACCAAATGAACCTCCTGGACAGGCTGAGTTTGCTCTGGATTTATAGTGAAGTGGGAGGGATTAAAGTGCATTGTCTCTGGTAGATGTAAACAGTGGAAATTAAAAGCTTGACATTGGCTTCCTTTTAATTTAAATTTCTGTTGTGCCTGATGTACCTAGATTGAACCTACAACCCCTCCTGCCTAACCCCTTTGTAGAACTCAGAGAGGTGATGTCTCTGAAAAACTCTCCTGTTGGATCCATGAGATCAAAACAAAGACCCTAGCAGGTGCTCTGGGAATCAGTGTCAGAACAAACTCCAGGGCAGGTAGGACAGCTGGTGCCCAACTAGGATCTTCAGGATGGGAAGTGTGTGCTGCTGAGTACGCGGAAATAAAGTGGAGCCCAGGGGAAGCTGATTCCTACTCAGTGTGGAATCGCTCTGTGCCAGAAGAGAAGCCTTGGGACAGGACAAGCTGGGCTGCTCCAGAGGAAGGAAGGAATGGGCCAGGAGATGCATGCAGGCACTAGCCTCAGATCCACGGCCGCTCATGAGGGTTTTTATTTACATAAGTACAAGTTTACTGGACACAGTGGCACACATTCTAGAGAGTGTTTGCAGAGCCTCTAGGAATGGTGTGTCGGGGTCTCCCCAGGTGTCCCCACAGAAGAGTGAAGCTCTCACCGGAAGGTGAGGCTGGGTGGGGGAGGAGCACGGTCAGGCTCAGCCAGCCCTGCAGGCGCCTGGGCAAGTGCATCTGGCCAGTGCTGCTGCTTTGCATGCAGCGAGCACCTGCAGGGTGGACTCCAGTGCAGCTGCTGAAGGGTGGGGGCCTCCGAAGCCCACGCACGGGCTGACCTCTGCTCAGGGCCACAGAGATTGTGTCAGGAGAGCCATGAGATTTCAGGTTAGCAGGAAGTGAACATAGAATTTTTCTGTAAAAAACTTGACAGCAAGTCTCTTTTCAGGAGACTCTCAAATGTGTAAGAATTGTATGACTTTCTGCCTTTTTATGTAACTGTGAGAAAGAGGTCACTTAGGTCCCAGGCAGAAATGCTGCAAGGCAGATTATTCTCCCAGCAGCCTCTGGCTTTCAGAGATTGTCACAGACAGAAAGCACAGGAGACCCACGGAGGTTGGTGAACCTGAAGATCAAGCTCTTCCTGCATCTTGAGTTCAGGATTTTGCTGCTAGCGATGTTTTGGTTGGTTTCTGCTGAATCCATTTGAAAGGAGACAAAGACAGACGCATCCTTGAGCTCAGTGGATGGCCCTGTGACATCTGTAGAGTAGGCAGTTCAGGTTCAGCTCATGGCTGAACTACAAACCCTCCCTTAGCCTTCCACCTGCTCGGGACAGGCGTTTCCCTGCAGTCAATGACTGGGGAGGAGGAAGTTCACAGCGCAGGCTTCTGGAGAGATTCGAGTTTTCAGGGTGTCGGGGAAAGAGCGGGCAGGAGCACACATGATAGGAAAGAGCACAGCCGGGATGGAAGCAAATGAGGTGCAGAAACCCAGGCTTTGAGAGTGGGCTGCCCAGTCCTTCCTGTCCCCGTGCACCTCCTTCTGGGCCTAGCAAGTGAGCAGGAAATCCCTGGACTGAGATGGCTTCCTAGACCCTTGGAGTTAGAACATAGTAGTTTCCATGATCAAACCTGCCCTTCAGCAACTATATTGTCAGAGAAAAATGATATTTTTCTTCTGTTAAAGAATAAGTCACTCTATAAATACTAATTAGATGAATTTGAACCCTAACACCTGGCATTCCATTATGGTGATTGTACAGACCCAGCCACATTTTCCAAACATACAGTGGAGTCCTGCTTGGATGAAAAATATCAATTTAGCATTTTCAGAGCTCACCTGAGACAAGCAGCTCAAACTGTGCTTGGTTGGGCTGTGTGGATCTTAGAAAGACACAGCTGTACTGTCCTTCATCTGCAGGGAGGACGGGATGGATCCTCAGGGCCACCTGGCCGTGGGTGATGTTCTCCCTCAGGAGCTCTGTCCTCCCTTGGAATTCTAGACTCTGCTGCTCCGTGTGGTCCCGAGAATCCCTGTACTGGTGCACCAGTGCCGATTGGTGGGCTTGGTACCATCTGATCTCCATGTTCTGAGCATCCGCAGGTGGGCTGAGGTGGCAGGGAAGCACAGCCGCTTCTCCCACCCGGGCAGTGACTGATGAGCTTGGTCCCTTCACTTGGAACTGCCCTGGAGGTGATTAAGAAGAGGACAGAGTCACTGCTGAGTGTGGCAGGCATGGCGGTGGCTTTCTGATAGGACAGGAATTACACCAGATCATCTATCTGGATGAGCTTGGACAGCTGAAGAGCAGAGCTAAAGTAGGAGGTGTGGGTTTACTTTTAGTCAAAGAGATCAGAGGGCATCAGGCTGTGCGATGTTCACAGGACCGTAAGCTGAATTAAGTTTTTTACAGTTTGCTTAGGGTTGTAAGTCAAATTGGTATGAGGCAGTATATTTCAATCTTATCACCCTGAGTGTTGCAGAGTATTCTTATTTTACAGATGAAGAAATTCAATCAGTGAGTGCTTTAATGCCTTACCACAGAACACATAAAAATAGGATATAAAATGAAAATTTTAGAATGGATTTAAATATTTTCTTTCTTGAAAGCATATAGTACTCTGCGTATGTAATCATATAAGCCAGGTGTTTTCCTCTCATGCAAGTACCAACCAGTCCCCACCCTGCTCAGCTTACAGTTCAGACGAGATCGGGCACGCACAGGGTGTATTGCTATAGACAAAACTAGTGCTTTTCTAAGCAAAGCATGGAAAGGTATTCTCTATTCTCATTTATAAAATTAGTATACGTGACCTGAGCAGAATGCCTGGACCCACGGGCTGGTATCCAGTCAGCTGCACAGCTGTGGATCCCATATCCTGGCTCAGCCCCCACCACTGTGGGGCTGGCTCATGTCCTCTCTCCATGGGTCAAGAAAGTGTCAGTCCAACGACAGACATGGTCATGGACGGAGCAAGAGTCTGGACTAGGAGATTCAATGTGGATGGCTAGAGGAATAGTCTCATCATAGCAGCTGCAGAAAGACCCACTGAGAAGGAAAGATTTGGAAGATGCCACCCAGCTGAGGAGAGGGGAGCCATATTGGAGAGACTCAGGGAACACCAACAAGAAACACAGAGGAGAGAGGACAAGATGGCGGAGCAGTGAGTTCCCGCAGCTGTGCTTCTCCAGGAAAAGGGGTCTGAAGTCTGGCGTGGGAGACAGCGGGAAGAACATGAGGCTCTGTCCTGAGTGACCTTCAGTGGTAACGGTGGTGAGTATCTGCCTTACAAATGCCCAGGACACAGCCCTGCAGTGCAGGCTTGGCTGGGAAGACATTGTGGGGAAGGGCTGGAGTCTGAACTTCAGTCCCAGAGCAGCCCCCTGGGGACTTCACACTGCCAGGGTCCCAGGGTCGGGGAGGGAAAGTTAGCCACTGGAGGCTGTGGGCAGAGGAGGGCAGATGGCAGTGAGTCCCGCCGAAAGGTGGGGACTGGAGGTCACAGACACAGGACCATCGATCTGGCACCAGAGTTGTCCTGAGTTACTCAGGATTGGAGGCTCACACTGGTGCTGTGTTCCCACTGCTAAAGGGAGACCCAAAATCGGAGCCCCCAGATCAGGGCCTGTGGTGTGTTATTTCTCAATTTGCCAGGTAGCTGATATTGAAATGCATTAGTCTCTTACACCTGCCTTGGAATTGATTGCGTAGGAATAATCCTGACTCAGTGGGTAATTTAAAGCCGGTGAACTTGACTGCAAATCCACCACCACACCCGGGGAGAGGGACAGGGGGAGTTCCTTACCCAAGGACTCAGGCTGATCAGACTCTACAAAAAGGCCTGCACCCTGCAGAAAGAGGTCCTGAGTCATGTTAACCCCGGCTGTGCGGTGGAGGGGCACAGGTGTAACTGGGTGTGAACACTCAGACTACAATCAGGCAAAGAAGCTACTTGGGAATCACATATGCAGCAGCTCTTTGGAATATCTCATCTGTGTTCCCATCAGACATCTTGTTGCTTTAAGCTCTTTATGTCTCTTGAGTTATTTAGTAACATGGCATTATTTTTTATGGAATCATGAGTATATTACATGGCTACTCTTGTATATTTGTGCTTTCATTGACTCTGATTTAATAGGTGTCTAGGTTCTGTCCGTTATCTGGAGAATAGATGAAGAAGGGAGAATAAGTCCAAGGACTATTGTATAGAAATGTTGCAAGACTGAATCTGAGGATGTTGGCACAAATTGAAGCAATTCTTGTGGCAAAACATCGGGACAGAGTTAAAACTGCTTCAGAAAACAACAGACTCACAAGCTTAAGGAACATGTGGTATTGCTCGTTTGAGTGAGGCAAAGGAGCAACACAGAAGATGATAAAGGGTGGACAGAAAGAGACCAGGGGACAGATGTCGTCCAGTGGGGAAGTTGTCCAAGGGGGCACGGAGAGGGGGAGGAGGGGGAGGGGAAATGAGAGGAATAAAGATGTGCATGCCCAGGATCCTAATAACTCTAGTCAGGGCAGACGTTCCGTGCCACACCGTGAGCCAAGACACACAATGTCAACTAGTTTGTACGAGGTGATAGGGAGCCAGAGGAGGGGGAGGGGAGGGGAGGAGACTAGAAGACACAGCTGCGTGCAGTGTGACACGTGACCACTCCCAAGATGGGTGTAAACTGCATGAGTTGTAAACATGTACTAACAAAAATAATTAAATTTTTAAAAAGAAAGTGACTACAAAAAGATGTGTACAAAATAGTATAAAATTTAAAGGGGGTGTCTGTGTACGGCATTATGAAAAATAAAAAGTTAAGAATATTGGAATTTTTCTTAAGTTTTCCAAGCAAAGTTCTTCATTTCTCCTTCTTTCATTAGAAACTTCCTTTCCCTTCTCTGAGATGTAAACCTTTTCAGCCCCATGAGCTTCTTCGGAGTTTATAGCCCAGACACACCCTTCTTAAGGGCCCGGGAAACATCAATGAGAGCGTGAGCTCCGGGAGGAGAGAAACACCGCCCTTCCTGCACTGCGCAGGTGAACGCTAGCGCTAAACTCCAAGCAGCATCTGTCGGTGTGACATAAAATTAGGAAAAGCTCTATTTTCCTTTGGGAAAAGATAGTTCACTGATATCACGTCCACTTCGATTTCAAGATGAATGTAGGAAGGAAGATGTGCAGCAAAAGGTGTTGCTCTGCTAATTTCTGTAAGAACACTCCTGCGTGGCTTAATACTTAACAAAGTTGTGTAGTTCCTTCTACACCGGGGAAGGCATTTTTGCAGGTGGGCAGGAGATTCTGTCCTTTAATGATTCCCCAGAAGTACACACAGGAGCTCTTCTACCTGTGTTCAGCAGAGCAGGAGCTTAGGCCACCTGGGCCAGCAGTCTGCTGGGGCCACAGGGGAAGCACTGGGACTTGTCTGTCCTGCGCTCACTCTGCAGCTGGGTCAGGGCTGACCTGCAGTACTCCACACAGCGCTGGCATGGTGGCCCAGGCCTGTTCCAGCACTCAGGAGGCTGAGGCTGGAAGGTCACTGTGAAATTAGAAATATATTGGATGGCCTTTGCACCTGTATTACAGTTTATATCTAGAAATTCCCATGAAGCCCCAACTGATCATAGGCAGGGCCTTCAGGAAGGTGTGAGATCACAGGGCCGTCACAGCTGACGGGCTGTCAGGAGGCAGGGGCGCTGAGAGACAGTCGCTGTGAGGGTGACACAGGAAGGCTGGACTCTCTGCTTCCTGTCCCACAGGCCTTGAGCGCCTCCCCTCCCCCAGTCCCCTCGGCTACGCGGTGCTGCACTGCGACCGCCGGACTGCGGCTCAGAATGGGAGCAAATAGAAACCTCTCCTCCTTTAAGTGGAGTCATGGATTTTGTCGCAGCAATGAGAAAGCGACTAAGACAGTGCCTTTTTGACTTACAAGGAAACGTAACACAGTAAAACACAGCAGTAAACCAAGATAAAGATCCAGAGAATAGGGATTTCCACACAGGAAAGCAGCAACGGAAAATTCCAGATTGGTGCATAGGATTAGAAGATAGTGGAAGGAGAATACTAGGAATAAAACACAAATTTTAAATATATAAAATATATATCACAGAAACATAGGACACTACTGAAATATTGAGAAGAAACAAAACTTATTGTCACCATGGAAGTGAAAAAACCAAGGCTGATGCCAGCTTCAGGAAAAATGAAGTGTTCCCCAGACAGAGAGCCTGGTGAGCCCCCTGTGTTACCAGGGACGGCGCTCCGTGGTTGGGGAAAGGCCGAGTGTGAGTGAGACCTAAACCTGCGCTCAGCATGAGTAACTGTGAAGGAGGAAGAGAGAAGAGAGCGGGAAGGATAAGCAGAGGTCTCTCACCTGGGAAGTCCCTGCCTGAGAGAGGGAAAGGCAGTGTGGCTGCCGTTCATGTGTTTAGGAATATGAAAGTACTGGATGCAACACCCAGATGAGACTGCAGGGAATTTTATGAGGGTAAAGAGTAGAAATTCTAATTTTAAAAAGACTTTTAGTACTACTTGCCTTTTAAAATACTGATGAAAAGAAAAGTCAATTTGGCAGAGAAAGCCTTCCACACAGTTAGGATTCCCCTGGCCATGTGGACACCGGGAAGCAGGAAGATGAGCTTGATGAGCTTGATTCCACGACCCTTGGAGGAATAAAACTAGTAAAATCCCTGGAGCGCAGGTCTCCCTGGGACGAATCCGCAGGGCGTGTGGTGAGTCTGAGTTGTAGGTACAGTGTTTAAATGGAATTCTTTTCTAGAGCACTTATTTATAAAAAGAGATTAAATGACCCAGAGTCATGAAAATTTAGTATAGGTCCTGTAAAATTTGAAGACACTGCAAAATTAATTCACCAGACTTAGCTTTTTAATACTAGTTTGTAGGAGAACATGCTCATTTCCATAGATTATTTTTGACATTCTGAGTTTATAGTTTACATTGTTATTTCATTTTATCCTTTTTTTTCCTAAATATTTTCTAAGGAAAAACAAGTGAAAGGAAATTACTAGGGAAATGTTTTTCCACGTATTTAAGGGTATTTTTTTTTCCTTTGTTTCTTTTTAATGTCTGAATGCTTTCCATTGGACAATACTGCATCTCAGTAGAATTTGCATTTTTAGTTACTAATAAACTTGATTATTTCTATTTGCTCACTGATAGTATTGAGTTTCTATCTTTGTTGGGAAAAATCTGTTTAAGTCCTTAGACAAGTCTAACTGAACTTTAAAAAATGTGTATCCAATTAGGAAGCTTTTTCTCCTGTTTTAATAATCCCTCCTTCAAGTGTGAATTGCCCCTTAGTGGGTTAATGAATGATGTTTTCTGGGAAGACAGCAGCTAATTTTATAACACAAAATGTCTCGTATGTTTTGTCAAATTGTGTTTATGCATTTTATTGCTCAGTTACATATATTTCATTAAAATAAGGAGAGAGTATATGTTCAGATGTCCTGACATTTCACTTTCACTTTGGTGTTTTTCATTTCAAATGGAGCATCATACTTATTTCAATCAAGCCCTGTCTACAGGGCAGGTACCCCAAAATCCCACTAGTTTCCATGTCAGGAATGGTATTTAATCTTAGGAGCTTACACTCTTTTTGCACCCGGAGCAGTTGTTAAGAACTCAAAGGTGGATCGCAACCCTGTTAGAAATGACAACCGCAGAAATGTGAGAGCTTGTGACTCCTTCTTTTCACAGCCAAATGTGAGATAAAAAAGAGGATGAAGGATGAAATGATATCTTCAAAAACAAAACGGAAAACAAATCAAAGACCCCGTGAAAGGTGCCGCAGCGGTGTGGGCAGAGCCTGGCCCTGGACACGGGTCCCACTCCGGGTGCCCAGCAGGGGCAGCACGTGACCTTAGAGAGATTCATGCAGTTTCAAGGGTCAACTTCAGACAAGGTTTTCAGAGAAGAGTTCAAGGGAAAAGAAATGCAAAAATATGGAAATAGGGCTGTGCAATTGGGCAGGGGAAGGAGAAAAGAAGAGAATTAAGATGTGCTGTGTACACGGACTGATCTTCCAGGGTGACTGTGATTACAATGTACTGTAACCATGTAAAAATAAAAAATAAATTTAAAAAACAAAAAAAGAAAAGATCAGGTGAAAAACTGAAAAGAAGTACTCAGAAAAGATCCCTTGAACATGGTAACGTGTACTGTGTTAATAAAGTGAGAGGAGCTGCAGCATTCCGTCCTCAAAAGTGAGGAGACAGGGAAGGAAGGAGGACAGACAGGGCGCCCGGCTGAGGCCCAGACCTCGGGGGCAGCGCAGGCTGAGGCCTCTGTGCGCGGGGAGCGCAGCGGGGTCCCGCCCGCCGGCTCCTCCTCACTCACCTGCGCCTGGCCAGGGCAGCAGGAGCCAGAGCAGGAGGGGCCTGAAGCTCGGGGCCCAGCGCTGCATCCCGGTGGCTCAGGGTGAGGTCGGACCCTGTCCTCGCTCTGTCACAGCCGTGGTCCAGGTTGGTCCCCTGTGGTCACTCTCCTGCAGGAAAAGGGGAAACTGGGTCCTGGAAAGATCAGCCATGTGCAGGGGACTGGAGCAGGGTCAGAGTGCTCTTACTCCATCCTTTATACATTAAAGGACCAATGACAATAAATGACAGCTGTGACAGGGTGGGTGATATCACGATGAACCTAAAACATCACTGCGTAAGGAAAACACTGACCCTGAACTCTTTTTACTTGCAGAACTGGTTTTCTGAATTGAAATTAAGAACTACTCATTTAATCTTTCTAATATTTCAACATTACAGTCATTGGAAACCCCCACATAGAACTGTGGAGCAACGTTACACAATTATGAGGCCCAGTCAGAGCACGGGGATTTATAAGAATTTCACCCTCTGGTGGGACTGGAGCAGCGCTGATCTGATGCAGCGCTAATCTGACAGCACCAGCACCCGACTGAGCAAAGTGCGCCATTTCTTATCCACACTGGCTTATCTCAGGTTCCAGGTACAATCAGGACCATAAACTCTCCTCGCAGCCTCATTCACATTTCCCCACGTACAGACGGCACCGAAGTGCTCTCCAGTGAGGGCAGGTGTTTGCTCTGACTGTGGAGAAGCATGATGAACAGTTAACGCAAGCAGCAAGGCTGCAGCAGAGGAGCCGTGCTGGGTGGGCGGGGCCGCGCCCAAGGTCCAGTCGGGGTGCTCCGTGCCCCGGGCCTGGGGGAGGAAACTCGGAGCAGCGGGCAGGAGACCCAGGGCACAGAGGGCGGGACTGTGGGGACAGCCGGGCAGCGCTGGAGCCAAGGGGGCACGGAGCTGCTCCGAGCGCTGCTGGTGGAGGCGCTGACACAATCTCACTTGGAAAGGGGTGTGCACACTCACAGGACGTGGGCACAAGCAGCCCATTTTCCGTGCTAAATTTATAAAATGGTTATTAAAACAGGATGGTAACAATAAAAGCAAACTCAAATTTAAAAAGTAGACAATGCCAATAAAAAGCCCACAGGCCTCCCAGCAATTCTGTTAAGGAACGCAGTGAGGAAAACTCTCTCTTCCCTCTTGCCCTCAGGAACCCAGAGAGAATGCTGATCCTGGAATACTCAGGGTTCTCTGCACCAAGTGCTGAGGTCCCAGGTCTTTCTGAGGAGGAGTCACCACACAGGGACGCCTGGGCAGAAGAAGAGCGGAAGAGTTACTGTAAAGGCAGATGCACTGTGTCCACTGAAGTTTAGAAGCTTAACCTTGCAACTCAGCAGGGAGCCACAGTCCTCACTTTGTAAACATCTGAGCCTGTGCAAGAGGAGGGCGTGGAGACCGTGTGGGCAGGTATCCTGCATACAGTATAAGGGAGGAGAAGAGGCTTGTTTCCCTGGTCTTACTCTTGCTGCTTTTGCTGTCTTCTGCCTTCTCAGCTGTTGCTCCTGTGCCACTCCACCCTGCCTTGGAGCCAGCCGAACGAGGACTGAAATCTCCACAAACTGGGAGATAAATAAACCTCTCCTTCCTTAATTTAGGTGTGAGGTATTTTGTCTCAGCAACAAGAAAAAGTAACAAGACAGTTACTCACATTCCAGAGGGGCAGCTGCCAGCAGGGCCCCCAGGAAGCTGCTCCAGGGCAGGAGACAGCAGCTGAGCTCAGGAGCAGCTTGTGCCCGTGAGGAGGTGGCTCTGCTCTGTCTCGCCCTGTGGACGGGCTCCTCTGAAGGAACTCTTGGTTTCTGCGTCGCAGGAAGGACAGCTGTGTGGTATCAGGTGCCAGGAACACAGGGCAAGTCCAAGGTGTCTTGATAAGGAAAGTGCTCGGGTGTGGACTTAATCAGCTCTTCAGGATCTGGAACTGACTAGCCTCTTGCCTGAGCCTCAAAATAAAGAAAATACAGCACTTTTTCTTTTAAGGAAGCTATCATATTACCAGTACCTTGATGTTTTAAAATTGGCTTTGAGCCCATTTTCTGTTATACTTGGGTCCCTTACATGGTAGAAGAAATTTTATAGAATAAGAAGGAAGTTACTTCAAGTGGTGAAAATAGTATTTTCTTAGGATAGTGAAACGGAGGAAAACAAATCCTAACACAATTAGTCGTTGTAGATATGCTGCACTAAAGTTTTTAATTTTTATGTCATTACACAAAAAATGATCTGACATTTTAGCAGATCATAATTACTTTCACAGTGTGCAGGATACTTTCTTCGTGATAATGATACCTCCATGTATTTCTTGGATTAAATGAGAAGGTTCGGGTCATGTTGTTGGCTGAGGTGAGCTCGAGGAGCAGACGGGTGGATGGTTCTCTCCCCGGAGAGGAAGGGGGATGACAATACGATGCTCAAAGAACGTAATACTCTCCGTTGAGTGAGGAGGGAGAGTACGGGGGCACCAGGACTCAGCTGCTCACTTTGCTACCTTGGAAGGTCGTGTTGTTCTGTCCTTGCCCCTGTCCCCACCCTGCTCTGCACTGCATTCTCCTCGAATGGTGGTATAGCCAGGGAGTTTGTGCACAGGTCTCCGCTCTCACCAGGAGCTGGGTACACCAGGCAGAAGCAGCCAGGCTCCGCAGGGCGTGTCCAAGAGTTGAGGCTGCTTCACCACTATTTTCCAGCTCCTGGGGCCATGGAACTGATTTCAGAGGTCAGGTTTCCACACTGTGCTGGGCTCTGCGCTCTTCCCCTGTGCAGACGGAGAAGCTCTTTCTGCTGCCCGGGAAGCCAAAGTAGGGTGCAGTTCGCTAAGGGTGTCCCTCCCTTCCCGCGCCTCCCTGCTCCCCAGGACCGCCGTGCCCTGACCCCTTGCTTCAGCGTCCTTCAGGGCTGTCCAGCCTCTGCCTTCCCCTCCATGCCCACAGGGGTGCAGCAGGGATGCCAGCCTGGGCCTCCAGCGCTGCTGCAGAAACTCTGCTGCTGCCTCCTTAGGGAAGGGCGAGGCCCTGGCTGGGGAGCAGACGGGGTGGGGCTGTGATCCCCCGCCCAGCCCACAGCTGGCCTTCCAGAACACTCCTGGAGCCCTGCACAAGCACAGGCCTGCAGCTGCTCCGTAAGCAGCTCTTCCCACACCCTGCCCGGTGAGTCTAGCAGGGCTCTCCGCAAGAAACTCGCTTCCTTGAGCTGCACAGGCCCCTGGTAAAATACAGACTCACTCCTGTGGTGCTATAAACCACCAGGGATTCATGTCTCAGGCGGTGCGGCTCTGAAGGTCCTGTGAGTCTACTTGGGACTTTCACCCTGAGAGGTGTGGACAGAGAGGTCATTTCAGAAGATACAGCAACAAACACTAAGGGCTGTTAGTGCTGAAGAATCCCAGATCCCGGCACCCACCAAGGATCAGCAGCAGGACCAGCGCCCAGCAGAGCTGGCCTGTGGCATCTGCCATGAGCGGGGCTTGGGTGGTGGTGGCCGCAGTGGCAGTGACCAGCAGCAGGCTGTGTCAGCTGTTGGATCCAGCATTCCCCAGAGTCATCCACCTGGTGACATTGGGACTTTAGAAGAGCTGCGCTTTGCTGACTCATGATTTCCATCGGAATCGAGAAAAGAACCCTGGGCTGCCGGGCAGCATTTTGTCAAGGCCAAGGGGCCCTTGCCTTTCTGAGAGTGTCCAGAAAGAGCGCAGGCAGTCATGATGCTCGACACAGATCTTTGTTGTGGGTGATGTTATGGTTTGTGTCTAGATGTCCCCCCCCCCAAACCTCACGAACTTTTAGATGGAGCTTTTTCAGAGGCAGTTGAATCTAGACTTTGTGATTCATTCCTGCTTCAATACTGGGATTACTGGTGCTGAGATTAAGGGCGGGTGATTGCTGGGTCAGTCCACTGGTTGGATTGGTACTGCCCTAATCCCAGCGGTCTGGATAAGACAAAAGCGGCAGAAAGAGGCTTGTTTCTTGCTTTCGCTCTTGTTGTTTTTGCTGTCTTCAGCTGCCATGAACTGTTCCCCCTCTGCCATGTCCCACCCTGCCTCAGACCAGCCCATTATGGCTTAGACCTCCATAAACCTTGAGCTAAATAAACCTTTGTTCCCTTAATTTTGGGCATTGGGTATTTTGTTTCAGGAAAGACAGAGAAGTAAGACAGATGACAGGGTGTCACCTAAACCTTTGCTTCAGCAACAAGCACATCTGGCATAGTCCCTTCCATGGCCATCGCTGGCTGTATGGCTGAATCCACCTAAGTGACTCCAGTGCCTCTTTCTTTCCGTCTCTCTCTGTCGCCCTTCCTCCTTCCCTCGCTCTGCCCCTTCCTGTTCCTTTTTCTGTACTAGACTTCTGTTTCTATCTCTGCATCCTTTTCCTTTGTTTCTTGAAACTTTTTTTTCTGTTTCCTGGTTATGACTCCTGGTATTTTAAAAGACTCTCTGTTGCTGATTTGGAACTGTGCATTCTTGGGAGTTGGCCTACCTCTCTTGTAGAGAGATTTGGGGAAGCACTTGATATTAAAATGTGGCTGAAATTAACCTGAAGTTTGCTGTTGTTTGAAAACAACTCGGCTGTGTAGAGACCGTGACTGCAAGAGGTCCCCTTGAGGCCACCAGCCTTGCCTGTGTGTCAGAACACCCGTCGGGAGGGTGGAGTGAGACCGGGAGCAGTGCTGTCATAGAAGATCCTTGCAATAGGGCATCTTGGGGACACAGAGGAGCTGGCTGGGTCACTGGAGTTAACAAAGTACCCAGCAGGCCACACCTCTTAAGTATTTGAGGCTGTGTTGCTGTGGTTTAGTTTGACATGTGTACTCCAGGACCTTGGGCTTGTTGGTTTGCTGGACTGGAGGAGCATTGAGTCTTTTACTTTGGGAAGTGGGTTTTCTGGATGGGATCTGAGTTTTCAAACTTCCTCAGGCTTGATTTACTCTACCAAGTCCTGTGCATTTCCCCTGTGTCTGTACACAAGATTTCTGACCCGACTTCTGCCTCTGCCTCCTTTTTCTTTGTCTCACAAGACGTCTTTCTTTTCTGTTTCCTAGTTAAGGGCTCCTGACTTTGTGAAAGGTTCTCCACTCTAGGCCCACCCAGTCAGTATTAACTGGCTTTATAATTCTAAATTCTGAGTGTGCAGTTTTGGGTGAACTGAACTGCCCCTCCCTTAGGGAGAGTCCCTGAGTGATCTTATCCGGGCCCTCAGTGGGGCCAAAATTACTCAGAGTGAATCCAGTGCTAGACAGGTTGCACCTATTTATCAAAGTAGTGTTTCTGTGGCTTGGTTTGGAGCCTGTGATTCAGGCCTCTTTAGATTATTACTTATGTGGAGCACTGAGTCTCCATGGGAGACATATTTTCTAGATATGGCATCTTCGTTACCCTTAATTTTTTGTGTTTGATTTTTACTACCATCTCCTCTGTATGATTCTTGTATCTGTGCAATTGATTCAGGA